CCCCCCCACGCGAAGTGGGGACGTGCTGTGGAGGGGACAGCACAGGGGCGCGCTGTGGTCCCCTTCCCGTGGGGTGATGGTATGGGGACGTGGCATGGCCCCCTTCGCATGGCCGTGGGGACACGACCCGACCCCCTCTGCATGGGGACCCCGCGTGGGGTGGCCTGGCCACTTCGCCAGCCCTGTCCCCCCACGCTCCTTGGCTGAGCTCCTGCTGAGGCCGGACAAACTCATTGCTGGGATAACAGTGCCGGGCCGGGACCCCACCCTGGAAATCCCCTGGGGGCAGCGTCAGGGGCAGCAGGGCAGAGGCACCCATGGCTCCACGGTCACCCACAGCCTTCCGGGTCCAGCCAGGGCTCCCGTGGGGCCGTCACTGTCCCCCAGCCCCCGGGGTGCGGAGCGGGTGCCCTCCCTGGGGGCTGCAGCCCGGGTGCCCGCCTGCCCTGGGGCTGCAGCCGGGGCTCTCTCCCCCCAGATCCCCTCTTGCAGTGCAGGGGGGGGCCCGCACCCCCCTGGAGCGCACCCGTACCGGCGCCCCGTGATGGCCCCGGGACCTGCTGCCTCCCCGCAGCCAGCTGGAGAGGAGAAGCCAGTGGGGACGGCTGGGGAGGGGGACTGACCCCCCATCCATGGCAGGGGGCAACCGTCCGGGGCTACCGGAGAGCAGCCCAGCGCCCAGGGCCTGCGCCCGTCCCTTGTCCCCCCGCCGCACGTGCCGCTGCCCAGGAGGCTCCCGGTGAGCTCTGGCCATGTAGGTGCAGCCTGGGGCCAACAGCCGCCATCAACATGCAGCCGGGCTACGCAGCCGTCCTGTGTGAGTACAGCTTGGGGACACGGGGGGATGGCCTCAGGGGTCACCCCAGTGGGTGTCCCCAGCGGGGGCTGACACCACTGGCTTTCGGCTGCTCAGGCGTCCTGGCCGTGCTGGGGCTGGAGGCCGCTGCGCCGGGCGAATGCGAGCTCACCCGCCTGCTCCAGGACAAGCTGCAGTACGAGATGCGCCTGCGGTACATGGTAACCCCCAGTTTTGGGGGGTGGGGGGGGACACGTGGCATTGCAGGGCCTGGGTTTGCTGCAGGGGGGGACACAGGAGGGCAGCACCCACAGTGACCGGGCGCTGGGAGGGGGGGGGTTTACAGGGGGCAACTTGTGCCAAACGGTGCCCAGAGCTGCTTCTGCTGGTGCATCTTTGGGGGTTGACCTTGTCAAAGGGCTTTTCCACTGGTTCCCTGGTGTCACGCCGAGGCTGGCAGGGATGTCCCTCTCACTTCGCTGCCAGTCCCTGTGCTCTTCTCCACCTTTCCAG